CCCTTGAAGGTGGGCCACTCAGCTGAACAAAAAGTGACCCACCTCTTCTTCTTCTTCTTTTTTTTTTTTTTTTTAGATTTTTTCGAGACAGGGTTTCTCTGTAGTTTTTTTTGTGCCTGTCATGGAACTAGCTCTTGTAGACCAGGCTGGCCTCGAACTCACAGAGATCCACCTGCCTCTGCCTCCCAAGTGCTGGGATTAAAGGCGTGCGCCACTACCGCCCGGCTCCACCTCTTCTTCTTGACAATCACACTGTTGTTGCTGGCGGTATCCTGGACGTCCTGTCAGTGAGCAAGAGTTAAATCTAGGGGTGTTGATGAGGTATTCCCCATTGCTGAAGAGAAGAGTTGAAGATATAAGTCAAGAGAGAAATAAAACAAAGCAACAATTACAACAAACACAAAAAGACTTTGACAATTTCCCAGGACAAAACACAAGGTGGCAAACCAAAAAAAAAAAAAAAAAAGCCAGGCGATGGTGGCGCATGCCTTTAATCCCAGCACTCGGGAGGCAGAGGCAGGCGGATCTCTGTGAGTTCGAGACCAGCCTGGTCTACAGAGCTAGTTCCAGGACAGGCTCCAAAACCACAGAGAAACCCTGTCTCGAAAAACCAAACCAAAACAAACAAACAAACAAAAAAAACCCACAAGGTGGCACTTCCTCCCATGGTGGAGGGAGATACCCAAACACACTCCTAATGGGCCATTGAATTCACAGGAATGGCTCCTGATTGCTTCCTGAAGGTGGTTTCCAAAACCAAACCAAAACAAAATTTATCTATTTGTTTATCTATTTCTATGTGCATTGGTGTTTTACCTGCAAATAAGTCTGTGTGAGGGTGTCAGGTTCCCCTGGAACTGAAATTACAGACAGTTGTGAGCTGCCCTGTGACTGCTAGGAATTGAACCTGGGTCCTCTGGAAGAGCAGCCAGTGCTCTTAACCCTGGTGTGGGACAATGGTCTATATTCTGTCAATTATATTTTAAATAAATGCTGATTGGCCAGTAGATATAGGTGGGACAACCATACAGGAAGTAGAGGTGGGTCAAGGAGAACAGAAGAATTCTAGGAAGAAGGAAGTCCTAGTCTGTAGCCCTGACTTAGCCACAGAAGAAGCAAGATGTGACTGCTTCACTGAAAAAGGTACTGAGCCATGTGGCTAACATAGACAAGAATAATGGGCTATATAAGTTATAAGAGTTAATAAGAAGCCTGAGCTAATGGGCCAATCAGTTTATAACTAATGTAGACCTCTGTGTGATTTCTTTGGGACTTAATGATTGTGGGAACCAGGCAGGACAGAAAACTCAGTCAACACTTGGCCTTTATCCTTTGCAGCTCTTAATATTCTTTCTTTATTCTGTATGTTTAGTGTTTTGATTATTATATGTTGAGGGGACTTTTTTTTTTTGGATCCAATCTGCTTGGTGTTCTACAAGCTTCTTGTATCTTCATAGGTACATCTTTCTTTAGGCTGGGAAAGTTTTCTTCTTTGATCTTGTTAAATATATTTCCTGTGCTTTTGAGTTGGACTTCTCCTTCTGCTATCCCTATTATTCTTAGGTTTGGTCTTTTCATGGTGTCCCATATTTCCTGGGTATTTTGGGTTAAACTTTTGCTAGATTTAATGTTTTCTTTGACTGATGAGTCTGTTTCCTCTACTGTATCTTCAGTGCTTGAGATTCTCTCTTCCATCTCTTGTATTCTGCTGTTTATGCTTGTGTTTGTGGTTCCTGATCGTTTTCTCATGATTTCTGTTTTTATAATTCCCTTGGCTTGTGATTTCTTTATTGTCTCTATTTCAGTTTTCAAGTCTTAAATAGTTTCTTTCATATGTTTAATTTTTCTTGGTTTTCTTTAAAGAATTTGCTGATGTCTTCCAATTTTTTGTCTTTTCCTCTATTTCTTTGAGGGAATTTCTCATTTCCTCTTTAAGAGTTTTAAACATTCTCCTGAAGTTATTGTTTAGGTAATTTTCTTCTGCTTCATCTATATTTGGTTGTTCAAGTCTTGCTGTTGTGGGGTCTCTAGATTTTACTGGTGTTGTGTTGCTCTTTGTGGTGTTGTGTGTGTTCTTACCTTGTCTACTTATTTTTTCCTCTAATTGATGTGGTTGGGGCTGTCTATGACTCTGGTGATTAATCTTTTAGGTGCCAGTGGATCCAAGCCTCAGATGGTTGTTCCTCATGGTACAGTCAGTGCCATGGTTCTAGTTACCCCGTTGGTCACTTTGTGTTCCTGGGTCACTCAGTGTTCCCAGGTTTGCTCTGTTCCTGTGGAGTTTGTCATCTCAGGCCTGCTCTGGTCTAGGTTGCTGGCTCAGACCTGTTTCTGTAAATGATCCTGGTCTGGATCTGCTCCTGTGGAGGTCCCTGGCTTGGGATTGTTCCTGCAAAGGTCTCTGGCTCTGATCTTCTCCCTTGGAGGTCCCAGACTCAGGTGTGCCCAGACCCACAGAGGACCTGGCTCAGGCCTAGTTCCTCAGAGGTCCCAGACTCACACCTGGACCAGCAGAGGTTTCTGGTTTCTGCCTACTCCCTTTGACGTCCCAGACTCACAGTGGTCTCTGGCTCTGGCCCACTTGCTCAGCAGTTGCTCCCGGTACCTGCTTTTGTGGTGTTTGCCAGGTCTGCTCTGGCCCAGGCGGTTGGCTCAGTCTTGCCTCCACAAAATGTCCCTGGTCTGGATCTGCTCCCACTCCTGTGGAGCTTGCCTGCTCTGGCCTAGGTCATTGTTTTAGTCCTGATTCAGCAAATGTCCCTGGTCTGGATCCGCTCCTGCTCCTATGGAGCTGTCTCAGGCCCACTCTGACCCAGGTAGCTGGCTCAGTCCTGCTTTCGGGGTTCACTGCTTCAAACCTGCTCTGATCTAGGTTGCTAGCAATCTTCGCTACATAAATCTTAAAATATCTTTTTTTTTTTAAACCAGGGAAAAATGAAAATAATAGCTGGAAATATAAATGTAATTTTAGAATTGAAAAGGACTTTAGTTTTCAACTCTACTTTTGCATGTGTGGCTCAGAGGTCAGCCAATCCTGTGAGCTCCACAAGAGCTATCCACCTTGCTTTTTTTTTTTTTTTTCGAGACAGGGTTTCTCTGTGGCTTTGGAACCTGTCCTGGAACTAGCTCTGTAGACCAGGCTGGTCTCGAACTCACAGAGATCTGCCTGCCTCTGCCTCCCGAGTGCTGGGATTAAAGGCGTGTGCCACCATTGCCCGGCTTCCACCTTGCTTTTTAAGACTGGGTGTCAGGGTTGGAGAGATGGCTCTTCCAGAGATCCTGAGTTCAATTCCCAGCGACCACATGGTGGCTACAACCATAGGTATTAGAATCTGATGCCCTCTTCTGGCCAGCAGGTGTACATGCAGAGTACATAAAAATTATATAAATAAAATTTAAAAAATAGAATTAAAAAAAAAAAAAGACTGGGTGTCATGACACCTCCAGCGAGTCCGCAAGTTCCAGTCTCTCTCTGCCTCCCCCCAATGCTTTGAATTACAAGTGAATGCTACTGTGTCTGGTCTTCCGTGTAGGTGCCAGCGATGGAACTCAGGTCTCCTCATGCTTCTGAGGCAAGGACTTTACTGAGTTAACTCCCTAGCTCAAAACTACAGACCTAGCTAGTTATCTATATTGACTAGTTAAGAACAAGCCTCACGGCATGTGCCTTTAATCCCAGCACTTGGGAGAAAGAGGCAGGTGAATCTTCAAGTTCAAGACCAGCCTGGTCTACAGAGTGACTTCCAGGATGGCCAGGGCTACGTGGTGAAACCCTATCTCGAAAAACAAAACAGACAAAAAGCCCCATGATGATGTGAGATGTCTGTATGCTATGAATGTTTTATTACCATTGGTTAATAAAGAAGCTGATTTGGCCAAGAGCCAGGTAGGAAATCCAGAGATCCAGGGAGAAAAAGGGTGGAGTCCTGGAGAGGCTAGCAGCCTCCAGAGGAATGACAGGGGTACCAGTTAGCAACAGGGCCTGTGGCAATACAGATTAGAAATGGGTTGGCTTATATGTAGAGCTAGCCAATAAGAAGCCTGAGCCATCAGACAAACAATTATAATTAAGTCTCCAAAAACTTATTTTATAAGCAGCTGCAGGGATGGGACCAGGTGGAACTCAGAAAACTTTCAGATACACCATGAAGCTGGGGAAAAGGCTCAGAGGGTAAAAGCATTCACGACTCAACCTTGAGAACACGAGTCTAAATCCTCAAAACCCATACAGAAAGGCAAGCGTGCCTGGAACACTAGCACCGGGAGCTCACAGGCCAGTCAGCCACCTAGACCAAGGGAAGCATCTGGTTCACGTCTAGATCACCCCACCACACAGTTCTTCCTCTACCACCAACCTAATTATCTTAATAGCTGAGTTCTTTGCTCAATTTTCTGAATGTGGATCGTTAACAGAAGGTAACTTGTGTGCTTGAAAAGACCACTGTGCACCAAGTCCTAATTGTGGGATGGGAACCCTCCTTCTCATTAAGGGGTAAGAGAGGGGAGGAAACTTCCCTGTGGTGAGATACAATTGTACAAATAAGACTCCTTCCTGTCTAGCAAAGCCCATAAGCCAGCCCACTTCCTTTCCCCGAGAACCCCTCATCTCTATGATGCCTGGCCTGACCTGGAGTTGCTTAGACAGAAAGCTCTGCTGTCTGCAGGCCTCCCGACCGCGTGGACTGGAACCATGATGCTAAGTGTACTCTCTTAAGCAAGGCAACCAACACTGCTCACTCCACCTCTCTTAGACAGGGCAGTGATGGAACGAACACTTGCCTAGCGTGGGGGAGGCCTGCGGCACTCTCTAGAACAGACACAAACACAGATTTGCCCTCAGTGCCTAGGAAGGGGATGGAGTCTGCGGGAGACGTATCTGTGGTCCATTCCACCACGGACCCTGCCCACCCTGTTTTGTACCCACTGTTTCCCACATAAAACAGACAGGATTTGTCACAATCTAGGGGGAGCAGGGAGCCCCAAAGTAGACAAGACACCAGAGAGACAAGAAACCTTTATTTGCAACTTCTGAGCAACACGGTTGCTGGGGACAGGGTCCTCTCTAACCTGACTAGCTCAGGAAGGGCAGACACAGATGCTTCTGTTGAATGGCAGCTGGCACAGGGGTTTCTGAAGGAGAAGTGATTCTCTGAGACATGTTAGACCCGGGTCCAGGGTGAGAACACTCAGCTCCCTGGCCAAATTCAGTACCCCACTTGCCTTCCCTAGAGCTGATACTACTGAACAGAAGGAGCAGGGAGCCTCCACCTTTGGCTTCTCTTCCACCTCAGTAGGGCTTTCAGTGTCTGCTCAGGGTTAGGGAACAGGGCCGATGATGGCCGACAGAGGTTATGTCATTTATTTATTAGTCCTGTCTTTCCTATCTTAGAGTCTCCCCCTCACGAGCCCTGTAGACTTTTCTACTGCAGCCCACTTCCAGGCCGACACATGGCTGTGCAGGCTTAGGGTCACGGCCACTCAGGTCAGTCGTCCACCGTGATGTTCCGGAAGAGGTAAGCCATGGACTCGCCGTTGTGAATCCTCCGAATGGCCTCACAAAGAATCAAGCTGATGTCCACAGTCTTTATCTTGGGACACTGCAGTTTCTGGAGCTCGTGAGGGACAGTGTTTGTCACCACCACCTGGATGCGAAGCACCGGAGAGAGCACAGTTACACATCTGTCAGGAGTGGCTATAAAGAAAAGCAAACCTAACATTTAATTTAGAGCCCTTAGCTCCATAGTGGTATGGGGGCTGAACCCTTCACACACGCCAGTGTGTTCCCCTGAGCTACAGCCCAACCTTGGTTCTGACTTTTAAGAGGGTCTAGATATGTAACCTAGATTAAAGCTCAACTATAATCATCTCTCAAGTGCTGGGACTGTAAGCATAAAACCCCATCTGGCCAATGTACAGACTTTACAAACTGAGCGTCCAGGGGCTCAGAACTTAGGTCCTAAGAATGTCCAGCCCCATTCAAAACTTAACCATTATCAGGTATCAAATGTGACTCTACTGTCAACATGAGTTTTTAAATGTACACCTACCTGAACGTGCTTCTACCAAAAGTACTGTTGACAGGTTGGCAGCCTAGCTAGGGGCATGACAACTTAACAGAGTCAACTTTATTATTCCCAGAAACTGCACTGGCAGCCTGGACTCAAGCTGAATGTCCTAAGCCCTTTAAAGCAGACAAACCTCATCAATGGAGGACTCCTCAATCAGACGGGGGGCTTCAGCAGACAAGATACCGTGTGTGGCCATGACGTAGATCTTATAAGCTCCCCTCTCTTTCAGGATCTCTGCAGCAGCCACAAAACTCTCCACGTCGTCAATGATGTCATCCTACAAAGAGAGGTGGCTTCACCCACTCTGCACCCCGCAGAGAAAGACATCCACCTGGTGTGCCAGGTCCTTCTGTATGTGCTGCTTTTACTGGTTAATGAATAAAGAAGCTGCTTTGACCTGTGATAGGGCAGAATAGAGCTGGGCAGGAAAACTAAACTGACTGGTGGGGGAAAGAAGGTGGAGTCAGTGAGACCAGAGGAACTAGATGCCCGGTAAGCCACAACCTCGCAGGGATACACAGATGAATAGAAATGGGTTAATTTAAGATATAAGAGCTAGCTAGTAATATGCTTAAGTGATTTAATTAATACAGTTTGAGTGATTATTTAGGGTCTGGGCAGCCAGGAGATAAACAGCCAGCACCTCCAACTACAGATGGCGCACCAACGTGTACCAGATGAATCCACAAAAAACCTGGGAGAGCTTGGAAAGGAATCCTAGACACACACGCAAAAAGTTTAACCATAGTTTTCCCCCCAGATGGGCTCTGTTTGCTGGCAGCTCCTTTAAGAGAGGTTTTCCTGGCTCAGTATTAGCAGCAAAAAAACCTTGTGGTTTTAAAACAGTGGCTTCCTGATTCATGCTAGTTACAGGAACAACTCTGGCTCTTTAGGAGGCCGAGCACTTAAATGGGGTCTGTGAGCAGCGTGTTACAAATTGCTTAACGGTGATATAGATCTGCTGTGACCCTAAAGCCTGAACAGTGTGCATGGCTCTCAGAGGCAGTGAGCATGCCTCTGCCATGTTGGACTAGGCAGAACCAACAGGCAAAGCTCAGAGTTGGTCCTAGCCATGCCTGGTCAGCATTAAAAAAAAACAAAAACAAAAACAAAAAAACAACCCACACCCCTGGTCGGAAAATAATTACAGATATACACACAATAAAGACAAATTCAGATGGAAAAAGACCTCGAAATGGGTCACAGTGTTGGATAAATGGATTATATAGGCCCATTTTTCTATATTTTATGGCAGCCAAAATTCTGAGCAACCTTCAAGGCACAATTTGCACCTGTCACACAGAAGGCATCACCCAGCCTTTTGGGACAATGTGATGGTGACGTCATCCTAAGCAAAGGGTCAGGATGTGCTAATGTCGCTCTGCTCCTTCTATTGTAATTTAGGAGGTCACCTGGGAAAGAGGTGTTAGTTCAGTCAACACGTTGCAGAAGTGACCACAGTCATTCTCCCCACTACCTAGAAAACAGAATGCTAATGGATTTCCCCTCAGTTCACATTTTAGTATAAAAGCTGTTTGGAGAATAAATGAGGGTGATTTTCAGGATGTGAATTTAGGATTTCATGAAGGATCCTTGAAAGCTCCCTCCTGATAAAGTCATTTGAGCTGTTTTTTATTCCCATGCCTCCATTCTGGTATGAAAAATGGTTTATGTCTGGGCTAGACCCTGACAAAGAATATACACTGTTAAATGGTTTTAAAAATTAAAACAAAGTCTTTAAATAAAGAGACAGAATTCAGATAATCACAGATTAAAAGAGTAAAGATGGAAAACACACAAAGAGTCTGGATTATGTATATTATAGTGTTTTCTCTGAATTTTCTGACTGTGAATGAGCACACAGAGACATTTTATTGTATACTTTAAACAACATGTATACTTTAAAGGCATCTTGACTTCAAAATCTGGGTCTAAGGATTTGTTGTTTTGGAAAAGAGGTTCTGCTTTTGTTTCCACAGAGAATGAGAACCTGTGGATTGCTTCCAGACTAATGTGATTTGATGGAACAAGACCCTCTGAAAGGTCTCCGCAAACCCCAAAATTACTTCACCCAACAAAAAGCAGGAAGCAATTTGTATAGAACTACACCCAAATTCCCAAATATTGTTTATAAATCTTTGTTTACATTTAAAGGGAGATATGCTATAGAGGTACTTTGCATTGGTATGGATCTTGATTTATTGATACAAATTTAAGGTCAATTTTGTTATTATGTATATTTCTGCTCTTGATTAAGGTACTGTGTTTGTGCAATTCATTTAAAAATGTAATGTAAAATTAAAAAAATACAGGTTAATAGAAAATCATCTATAATAGTAATGTTAATTAGGTTTTCTAGATGTACAGAGATATATTTCAGATAGATAGGTATTCTTCAAACCTTTCAAAGAATATGGCATTTAAAATGTTTTAAGAATTTAGGACTTTACAGGACAGTGAGACACATCTGTTTCTGACAACACCAAGCTACTTCAAGAGGAAGATGGGCATCAAAGAGATTCCTCATGGAGTTTGTTAGTCATTTGGGCAAGAAACTGCTCTTGCCTGGACTGCTTGATGTTATGCTGTATGAACTGCACAGGCAGGACCCGCAGAGAGATGACTGCTGAACTTGCCTAAAGGTGAGATGGTCCTTTGGAGTTCCTGCTTCATGAAAGAATCTGCCAGATACTATGCATCTGTGGTTGAAGATGGATGCCCCAATGGCACAGAAGAACTTTAGGTGACTGTCCAGGCAGTGAGATGTCTGTCAATTTTGGAGTTTTGGGAGTTGCTTACAATGCACTGTTAACTTAGGTAATGTTATCCTTTCTGGAGTCTTTGATGGAGTTGAAGAATAGATAGTTATAGTTTTCCTTAGTTATAATAAAAGATAGACATAAAACTTTATAGACTCACAAAAATAAGATAGAGTATTTTCATTAATTTGCCAGATGTAAATGGACTAAATATTGTAACTATAATTCTTGCTTGATAACTGTTTTGTTGTATGTAATCTTGCTATGTTAAAGTTAAAACCTTTTTTATTTAGACAGAAAAGGGGAGATGATATGGGAAGTCCTTCTGTATATGTGTTGCTTTTATTGGTTAATGAATAATAGAGCAGGAAATATAAGAGAGCAGAAGAGATAGGGCAGGAAAACTAAACTGAATGCTGGGAGAAAATAAGCAGAGTCAGATATGCCATGTAGCCGCCAGGAGACAGACGCCCGAGCTTTGCCTGGTAAGCCACGATCTCGTGGCGATACACAAATTAATAGAAATGGGTTAATTTAAGATATAAGAGCTAGGCCGGGCGGTGGTGGCGCACGTCTTTAATCCCAGCACTCGGGAGGCAGAGGCAGGCGGATCTCTGTGAGTTCGAAGCCAGTCTGGTCTACAAGAGCTAGTTCCAGGACAGGAACCAAAAGCTACGGAGAAACCCTGTCTCGAAAAATCAAAAAAAAAAAAAAAAAAAAAAAAAAAAAAAAAAAAAAAGATATAAGAGCTAGCTGGCAATATGCTTAAGTGATTGGCCAAGCAGTGATTTAATTAGTACAGTTCCCGAGTGATTATTTCAGGTCTGGGAGGCTAGGAAGCGAACAAGCAGCCTCTGCCTCCACCATGTCTCTGCTGCACATGGTTTCAGGAACATTAGAACACATGCCTGGGCCAAGGGTGAGCTCCCTGGGACAGCAAAGGTGCACCGATGCAGGGTGAGTGACAGCAGAAAGAGCAAGCCCCAGTCCTAGGTATGTGTGTCATGGCAGCTGAAGCTGACTCCTGACTCACTCCACTGAGCCAGCATGCTGCTTACTTTGTCCCAAGACAGGGTGACACAGAAAGGAGAGAATAAAGGAGCCACTGAGATGTGACTCTCTCATGTGTGAGAGCCGACGGCACTGGGACGTCTGCTGCCACCGGTGACAATCGGAAAGCCCCATCTTCAGCTTATCCTACGGCCCCAAAATGTGAGGATGATGGTGTGAGCTGGTCTGAGGGGACCCGGAACCCCTAGATGAAGGTCATAGTGTACTGAATTTCCTGTGGGAGGCACTAGGCTTTTGTCAGCTACCCATTAATTTCCATTCATTTCTGTAAAAATTCTATTACTTTCTTAAAGGAGACTAAACAGGAAGGGCAGATGGGTGCAGAGGATCCGCCGTCATGCTGAACCCACACTGACTAAGCCACCAGTGTCACCTCTGACACTGAAAGGTGATGATGAGTTCCATACCACTATGATCGCAATGCGTCCCCCGACGTCCCCGACCACCGTTATTGGGGGCTTCTCTTTGGCCATCATCACTAGGAAACAAATCACAAGACCCAGTTAGTCAAGTACCTGGGAAAATGTAATAATGACCTGGTGGCAAGCCACAGCCGACTACACAATCTGACACACAGAACCCTCCTTGACTGACTCACTCAAGAGAAAGAGCCGGAGCAGCCCTGCTCACAGAAACAGGACACAAGACGGAAAAGTGACCTTAAATTTTCTAGTGGCTGAGCAGGAGTCCTGGACCATTTTCTGGTCCAATTTTAACAGGTCCTTCTTCATTTCCCACAGTACCAGGATGCTCCAGTCACAAATGCTCTGCACACAGCTGGTTAGCAGTCTGACATGGTGACATACGATAATCCCAGAGGTGGAGGCAGGAAGCTTGAGAATTTCAGGCCACACACACCAAGACCCTGTTCTCAGCAGAATTCAGCTCTACTTGGTCATGTTAAGTGGGGCTATGTGGGAGGCTGAAACAAGTGTAACATTCAGCTCCAAAGTTTGCGACCAGGTGGGCAACACATTAAGACAGCATCTTAAAAAGGGAGTGGGGTAGGGGATGGCTAGAGAGATGGCTCAGTGGCTAAGAATGCTTGCTGTTCAATCATGAGGACCAGAGTTTGGATTCCAGCGTCTGCATTAGACAGCTCCAAATGCCTCTAACTTCAGCTTGAGGGAAGCACCTCACATGAGTACACACACACTCTCTCTCTCTGGGGAAGAGGGGCCAGGCAAGGTGGTGCGTGCTAGTTGTCCTAGCACTTTATGTGTGTGTGTGTGGGGGGGGGGGGGCTGAAGAAGAAGGATCTCAAGCCCAGGCTCCAGAGCCAAGACTGTCTCAAAACTAGCAACAGCAGAAGACACCACCTGTCAACAGCCACCTCAATAACTGAGTCAGGAGAGCTGTCAACAGACGCGAATGATGAGAAGGGGTATTCACAGTATGCTACCGACGAGGAAAAAGTAACTTTCCTAGTAGGAAGCCTGCCAGGCGCCAGCTCAACCAGGATGCCAAGATCAGCCTTTCCAGCAAGGGGACACCACGTGTTTCCTGTGGCATTCCTGCCAAATTTGAATCTCAGCGGGAGGACATAAGCAAGTCCCAGTTAAGGGATAATCTACAAAATAACGGCTGTGTTGCTCTGCAGTGTCAAGGTCATCAGCGACAAAGAAGAGAGGAGCCACTCTGGATCAACTGAGGCCACAGAAATGCCAACTAAGTATGTGCAGCCACAGGTCAGGCCCTGGGCAAAAACAAACAAACAAAAACAAAACAAAGGTTTTCCTCCTGTTCCAGAGCACACAGCGAAGAGCTCAGGTCGTTCCGAGTGAGAATCAGTCTCATCCGGACAGTCAAGTACTCAGGCTCAAATGGCACCAGAGCTCAGGCTCAAGGCCCCCAAACTACAACAGTGTAAGCCGGAGACTCTGGAGGAAGGGACAGTGCCAAATTCTTTTTACAGCCGGCACCAAAAAAATAAATAAAATTATGAAATCCTCAAAAAGCGAGAAAAAAAAAAACCTCAAAATACCCAAGTAAAATTAAAAGCACATTACAAACTCTTTATATATAAAACATATACAAAACTAGAAATGAAAGTGAAGCAACAGCCAGGCAGTGGTGGTGTACTTGAGAGGCAGAGGCAGGGGATCTCTCGGAGTTCAAGGCCAGCCTGGTCTACACAGAGAAACCCGGTCTTGAAAAACCAAAAAAGCAACAGAGTGTTAAAGGGATGGGATGGAGAGCGAGCAAACACTTGAGCTGGGTTCTGATGGGATGGGGAGTGCGCACACACACACACACTTGAGCTGGGTCCCGAAACCAACTCTGATCCCCCCATTACCTTTTGCTTCTGAGCTATAGCAAAGATAATTTTGAAAAAAAAAAAAATAGAGAGAGAGAGAAACTTTTTTCCTCCAAACATCTTAAGCCTTGTTGCAGCACACAATTATCAGAGTCTGCCGAGTGACTGCTTGCACATTTGGAGTAAGAGGAGCAAGTCAGTCAGGTATCAGATCAAAGAGCTACCCCACTAATCAAACTAAAGGTGCCTGATGCCAAAGCCTATGTCACCAAAGTAAACCCGAAGGCTCTGGTCTCCACACCATCACATACAGTTGTTCACTGCATCTAGACTTCAGTTAACACAAGCCCTGTCCTACCCATCCTGCTGGAACACCTAGCTCTCCTTTTACGAAGAGGTCGTGAAGGCAACAGTATCCATTTATTTAAAAATAGCTGAACAGCCCAAAGAGCCTACAGCTGATTCTTAGCCATTCATACTATTCAGAATTTTCTTCTGTTTATAGGTGAAGATGTGGGGCCGGAGAGATGGCTCAGAGGTTAAGAGCACTCACTGCCTGCTCTTCCAGAGGTCCTGAGTTCAATTCCCAGCAACTACATGGTGGCTCACAACCATCTGTAATGAGATCTGGTGCCCTTTTCTGGCGTGCGGGCAGACATGCAGACAGAATACTGAGAATACTATACATAATAAATAAATCTATAAAAAAAAAAAAGCGAGGCCACAGAATGAATCTTACGGGGAAGCTCCAGGCCCGGGTGCACAGTAGCATTCTTGACCATGGGGGGCGAGTGTCGACCATCATCCATGTCCAGCTCCGTGCACTGAGCTTCTCCGTGGATCACGGCCAGCCCCAGGCGCAGTCTCTCAGCATAGGACTGAGCCCTGAGGAAGACAACAGTTGGCAATGGTAACCCCGGTGAGAACACACAGCCCCTGGTGCCACTGCAGCAATTCCCAGGACAAACCACAGTCATCTTTGAGGGGACACAGAATAACCCTAAAATAAACAGCGCCAGGACTACTGCTGGGTTCTGGGTAATTCGGGTTTCTTCTCCCCAATATTCTACGAAGTCATTTCTAGAACTTTGTTCAAACGATGTTTCAAAATCAATGCCAGGCTGGGGTCGTGGCTTAGTTGGCAGAGTCCTCATTTAGCATGACTGAGGTTCTGGGTCTGATTCCCTGCACTACGTAAACCAAGCAGCGTGAGGCAGAGGCAAAAGAATCAGAATTTCAAGGTCACCCTTCAGCTATGAAGGAAACCTAAAGCAGCCCGGGATACATGCCCGATAAATTGCCTAAAAAACCACCTAGGACCACTGCCCAAAAGCATTCCTGGCCTCACTCGTTTCCATTACCCCCCAGAGGAGAACAGTAACTCTGCGCTCAGGTACAGTCTGGGGCGCTGAGACGAAGCTGCAGGGACGATCCGACAGTGGGGTGGGAAATGGGAACCCATGAACCTTCCCTGGTCACACTGAGAGCTCTGGCTTCCCAAACTAATTCTAACTTTAGAAGTAGCCACAGGGGTCAGAAATGACTGGGGTGATTACCTTTTTGCAGCATCAGGAGACTTAGCTACAATGACTGCATTTCTGTAATTTGGAATCTAGATTTGGAGGAAAAATAAAAAAGTACTGAAACATTATTTAAAAAAATAAAACCACTTAAATCTGGATGCTTGCTCAGGACCTCTAAGAACCCACGCCAGCAATCGGTGTGCTAGCGTTCATGCTGACTGTCATCATCACCAACTCATCGCTGCAAAAGCACTGACTGCTACATCAGGACAAAACTGCTAAAGCCCTCATTCTAGAAAACACACGCGTGAAGGGGCTCAGAGGGCCTGTTCTTTTTAATGTCTGAAGACATGGCCCTCCGTGCCTAGATGCCCTCTGGCTGTGGCAGGCCCTGAGCCTCGGAGAGCTCCTGGGATGTGCCTTCAAAAGCGAGATCTGAGGCCAGGGGAAACTAAATAGCATGTCTTTGAGGACATGGGGTCTGCTGGAGGCTCCTCACTTCTTCCTGGATATACTGAAGCAGGAAAGGTGAGGCTCTAAGGTTGTCCACGGGAAAGCTGAAAAAGCCTTGTATTTCCTTTTGGTGAAGATCCATAGTGATAATGTGAGTTAAACCTGAAATTTTAAAACAAAAAATTACAAAGTTCTCCCCTACAAGTTAACGGCCACAGTGGACATAAACTAGGAGTTCAGTTTCTGCTTCCTACCAGAAGCCTGAAGGCAGGGCTACTGGGAACCAGGGACACAAGCTCTACTGTCAGTCTAAGGAACAGCATGGAGTAGAGTGACCAAGAGCTACAGCAAAAGGGTGTGCTCGCTGCACTATCCTCAGTGCGGTCAAAAGAGAGAAGGAAGAACGAAATCAAATACGAATACGGAGCAAATGTGAGACAGCAGAGAAATAAGACAGCCTCGCCCTCAGCAAAGAATCTAAACCAACGGCTGGAGACCATGGCTACCTCAGAAACAAGCAAAGGAACAAGAGACTCGGCACAAGTGCAGGACATGGAGAAGCCCAGTGCCTCTCTACGATGGAAGGATGTGTGAGGGCGTTCTACAGACACACTGCATGCTGTCAAAGGTCACTGCTCTCCCGGACCACAGAAGCAGTACTGTTCAGACAGCAGACAGGGGAACCTCAGCCACTGTCCAGTGTTACTCTGTCTGCTCTACAGGCAGGAAGTGTGCACTGCTCTACACGGGGAACAGAGTGGGAAGGCTACCCAGGACATAAGTGTGAGCTGGGGAGGGGAGAGGAGACACTGACAGAAAGTCTCTTCAATTAACCTCCAACTGAGGCAAACAAAGAGTCGGCCTGAAGCATGAGGTCACAAGAATGACAAGCCTGCCAGTTAAAATACAGATGACGGCCAAGTAACACAAACAGGTCAGAGAAAATGCTAAAGCAGCGCCTGCTAGAGACAGAGGGGAACCAAGAATATGCCCCTCCGAACAACAAGACAGGAAACAAGGTGTCATTAGCGAGTCTGTAGGGAAACAGGTCCCAAACCAGACACGGAGGTGGAACCTGACCTGCGGGAGGGAGGGGCTACATCTAGCGCTGGGACCCCAGGCCTCTGGTCACACTCACCGGCTTTCGCCAGCATGGAAGCCAGGAGCTTGCACACGATGGAGCCCCTCTTCCTCATCTTGCTTTGCTTGCTGTAGGGGAAGTAGGGGATGACACCGATGATGTTTCTGGCACAGGCGGTCTTCAGTGCATAGGCCATAATCAGTAACTCCATCACGGCTGTGTTCACATCTCTAAAACATAAAAATAACCCTGGAGTAAAATCTACACATTAACAACCAGCAGGGCCCCAGCATCTGGGGGACGGGCACTCCACCCTTATGCTGGCTGCAATGACGACCCTTTTCAGCTGGGTCAGGTGGAGTTCTCAGCTGTGGTCACTCACACCTGCAGCAGCGACCCGGCTCTGGCTCTCATCTCTGCCTGTCTCTTCTACACGTCAGTAACCATAGCACTTGACACCTGCTGGTACTCAGTCAAGAATTCAGACGTAGGCCATAGCTGTCATTAACAGAAAGCATTTTGTCTTTCTCACAGGAAAGGTGGAAAGGAGTGGGGAAGTCTTGGAACTTTTCACAACCCCCCTTTCCTTTCTTCCTCTGGCATATTCCTGAGAAAGACAAGAGAAGGAAACCTGACCCTGAAGCGTGTCTGAGAAAGGTCACTCTGCAGAGGTGATGGACTTTTCTTGTCCCTATTCTCTGACTCTCGGGCAGACACCACCTCCTTCTCAAATCCCTGTTCTCTGGGACTGCAGACTTTTCAGGTGCAGGTCTGGAGCGGACAGGGAGGAGGCAGGCTGCCCACATAAAGACAGTGCAATCTACCATCCCCCTGCTGCGGAATCCAATGCAGCCACTGAATCTGCAGGACAGTTAGGCTCTTCCCATCTCTTCTCCCTCCCTGATACAGGGTCTGTCTAGGTTGCTGGGCAGACCTGGAGGCCACTGTGCTGAGCAGGCTGGCCGCCTCTCTTGACAGCAGCTGCAAGGACGTCCTCTTACTGACAGCTTTGTCCTCCAATATTAAACTCAAGAAATGCCCAACCTCGAAGGGCACTATGTTAGAAATAAGATCATCACAAACTCCAGAGACTAGGGAGAACAAGGCAGTTCTTAGACCCAGTTCTGATTCTGAGCCAGGCATGGTGTGCACATTTGAGTTCCAGCAATGGGAGGGAGAGGCAGTGGATCTTTGTGAGTTCCACAGCTTGTCCACAGAGAATTCTCGGACAACCAGGGTACATGCTGAAACCCTGGCCTGGCCAACAAAACAAAACAAAACAACAACGAAAAAACAAAATTAAAAAAAAAATAAAAGAGTTCTGCAGAAAAGGACACAGGCATAGGAGAAAGGCAAAGACAATGTATGTGCTGATTTGTCCCAGATGGTGGTGTTTTTTTGTTTTGAGACAGGGTTTCTCTGTGTAGCCCTGGCTGTCCTGGAACTCACTCTGTAGACCAGGCTGGCCTCAAACTCAAGAGATCCACCTGCCTCTACCTTCCAACTGCTGGGAGGTGTGCACTGCCACCACCTAGAGCAAGACAGCATTAAAAAAAAAAAAAATCCCTCAATAGAGAGAAATTTTCTGTCATTTTTTCCATAGGCTGGGACTTGCCCCCTCCCCAGATTTCCTACCCTACTTTCAGGACTCAAAGTTTTATCTAATAAATAAGTTGGGACTTGAAACTGCCCTGCCTGTCACTTTGACCCTGAACATGGTCACACAGCGAACTACCTGTAACTCAAGTTCGAAACAAGCAGCTACCAAAGACACTGAGTGCTTCCTGCTTCTAACTCCCATCAACTGTCAGACACAGCCCACACTGACAACAACCCCAACGATCCACTCCTCCCATTTGTCATAACCACTTATTTTAGGTAGGGCTGCTTTTACTGCTGTCAAGAGACACCATGACCAAGGGTGACAAGAAAACATTTAATTGGGGGGACTCAGTTTCAGAGGTTCAATCTACATCTTGATGAGAAAGCAAGAGGAAGGTCACTGTCACTGGGCAGTATCCTGGGCATAGGAAACCTCCAAGTCCACCCCACACTGACACACCTAACAAGGCCACACCTCCTAATAGTGCGACTGCCTATGAACTTATGGGGGCCAGTTACATTCAAACCACCTCATCGCTATAGGAATCTTTGATTAAAAAACCTCTCTTGCCGGGGGTGGTGGGTGGTAGGTGGCACACTCAGGAGGCAGAGGCAGGTGAAATCTCTGTGAGTTCAAGGCCACCCTAGACTACACAGCAAGCTCTAGGACAGGCTCCAAAGCTACACAGAGAAACCCTGTCTTGAAAAAAAATAAACATCTTTCCGACTCAGCAGTAAAAGTGTATAACGTCCTTGTAGATCCTGAGTGTAGGGTCTCCCACACAATCCCCCGTGCGATCCAATGCCAACAGCAATGGCAGCTGTCTGAAGGTGAACCAGGAGACACACAGGCCATGTCTGGTTCAGCAACGGTAGCTGTCTGAGGGTGAACCAGGAGATACACAGGCCATGTCTGGTCAAGTGATGACGGGAGGAGACCTGCCAGGACAAGATTTCCAAACCTCTTCTGAGCTGGAGGGCTACAAGAAACATCAACTGCACCAACAGCGAAGACGCACACCAGGCAGCGTCACTGTCCTTTGTGAGCAACTGCAAGGCAGGTTTCTGCATTTGCCTGATAAACAGGATGCCCGCAAGTAAGAGGATAAACTTAAAAGGTTATAAATAAAAAGCTTTTAGCTTTTTTTCTTAACTCTGGAAAAAAAAAAAAAGATCCAATGCCCTGTCAGGTCTGAGGGCACTTGCGCACAAATACGCAATAATAAACCTGAAACACGGAACACTTCTCTCAGAGTACAAGTATGTACAACTGACTTACAGGCTCATCTTCAAGACAACCAGGGGCTCCACCTGGACCCCTGGTTGAGTCCCCTTCCTTGACAGTTCTTTCTTTCCAAGGGAACAGTGTTAAGGCTAGCAGGAAGGATCAGAAGACAGTCTTGGTACAACCAACAAAAAGCAACCAAACACTTTCCAGGCACTTGGGAATTCCTACCATTGGGCTAATTTTAGTTCAACCATCAATTATGCATGGAGCAACCTGAGTTTATCGCTCGGTGAGGCTGGGGACAAACAGCCAAGAGGCAGCCCATCTTGGGAGAAGATCAGAGCACACGACCACTCTTGCCATAGGCATTTACCCTAAGCAGCGTATGTAATTCAAGTAGCAATGCTCCTCATCCAAAATTATACCTCCATACTTATTCTTCCCTTACCAACATTATATACACCGAACCTCAACAAGAACCCAAGCAGAGCTGGAAGAAGATAAAGTATAGCTGGCCTTGTTATAGCATGTGCTATACACATCGGCCTGATGCCATGGGTTCTGCAGAGCACTAAGGGAAGGGCCAGCCAATAAGAACTGACCTTGAGATCCCAGAATTCACCATTTCCTACATAATAATCTTACTTTCCATTTTTCCTCTTCCCAGTAACATACCAAAACATTCCCCACCATGGTTGAGCGTGGTGACGTGGCTCTCTCAAAGCCAGCTCTCAGGCAGAAGGAGGAGGATTTCTGTGAGTCTGGGGGCAGCCTAGGCTACACAGTGGGCTCCAAGCACCCAAGGCTACAGAGACCCTGTCTCAAAAACAGAACAAAAAGAGTAATATCCTCAAGTCCTCAACCTGTATCATCAGGAAAGCGACAATGGAGCCTTTATCTTGCTGGCTTTATCCACTGCTGAGACATGAGACAAACCGAACACAGGCAGTTGTTTTGTGGCTATCAGGGTTTAGAGGACTTGGCAGGCAGCCTCTGCTTTGTCTGTTAGGAATGTTCCAAGCTCATCCTGCTGGTTCTTGTAGTCACATGTGTAAGTAGGACACGCTTAACTGTCTCACCAACAGTCTGTCTCTCTTTAGGGTAATTATACTTCACATTTTGGACCTGAAAAAGCACTAGTCCCACCCCACCTCACCAACTATCTATAGCAAGCAAGTCCTATGTGGTTTCTACTCAATTGTTTTTTCCTGATTTTACGAGACAGAGTTTCTCTGTAGCTTTTGGAGCCTGTCCTGGAACTAGCTCTTGTAGACCAGGCTGGCCACAATTCTACTTAATTTTTAGAATATTATTTGTGTGTGTGTGCGTATGCAGACCCACACATCTTATCACCCATGTAGAGATCCATTATGCAGGGTCCAGACTGCTGTCAGGCTTGGTGGAAGGGACTCACTGACCTATCTTGCCCTCTACATGGTGTTTTGTTTTTGTTTTTCGAGACAGGGTTTCTTTGTGTAACAGCCCTGATTGTCCTAAAACTCACTTTGTAGACCGGGTTGGCCTTGAACTCACAGAGATCCTCCTGCCCCTACCTGATGAGTGATGGGATTAGGTGGTGGTAAAGTGCAGCTGTGAAGCCTGAGGACCTGAGCTCAACCCCCAGGATGCACACAACAGCACAGAGAACCCCCAAGAGTCAGCATCTAACATCACACGCACGCTGTGGTGCATGTGTGCACACACAGTGGCGCATGCCTTTAATCCCAGCACTCGGGAGGCAGAGGCAGGTGGATCTCTGTGAGCTCAAGACCAGCCTGGTCTACAAAAGCTAGTTCCAGGACAGGCTCCAAAACCACAGAGAAACCCTGTCTCGAAAAACCAAAAAAGACATGGGGGGTTGGGAGAAGACAGGAAATACCTGGAGAGGTTGGGTTTTGCCTTGACATTGCCTAACAAATACAAGAGAACTGTGACTTTTAAATCCCCAAATCTATCTCCTCAAGATAGGCTCACATCTGTACCCAAGCTCCTCCTTCAAGGACAGTCTGGGCTATAAACAAAAGACACTGGGTTTAAATAAAATTCTTCTGGCTGTTCACCCAGACTTGGCCAGCCTGAGACCTGTGCCAGCTGTTTGTTATCTGATCCTGCTGCTGTCTTCTGTCACGGTCCCAGGGTCACTCCATGGTCACTCCACAAGCCTGGCTTAAATATTTGTTCTGAGCACTCTTGGCTTCCGTGAGAGGCTAAGAACAAAAACTGTGTCATGGCAAACCTCCACCCACAAAGGACCTGGGCAGTGCTCTCCCACACTGAGACCAGCACCTGGATGGTGACCCCCAGGGAAGGACCAAGTAGGACGTGCAGCTCAGTGCTGGAGACTTTGCCTTAGATGCACAAAAGGAAATAAAATTTGAAAATACTGAGGGTTTTTATTTT